TGTTGCAAATAGAGAGTTGTCCTTTAATTTGGTTCTATTTTTATGTACAGTTTTTTTAACCACTCTTTCAGTTTTGTTTTTTTATGAAATTGAAAACTAGAAAATAATTTTTTTTATTGTAAGTGTCTTTTAATTGTTGCTTCTTTTTTTCCCAAAAAAAATTTTCTAATCTTATTTTGTTTAGCACATACTATGGCTCTATTTTTGAGTTCTGATTTTTTTTTTCCAACTGTTCACCGCCTTTCTTTTTTTTTCGATAGCAGCAGATATTTGCTGTTTTACGCTGATAATCGTTGACAATAATTGTTTACCTTTGATAGGTTTTGAACTAATAAAATTTTTGGGAAGAAAAAAACAAAAATTTTTTTCTTTTACAGTTTTTGAAACATAGAAGAAGAAAAAAAACGGTTCTGGATGACAAGCTAAAGCAGTTGTTGTATTCATCGAGCGAAGTTTGCTGCTGTAAAAGAAAGCCGAAGTGATCGCTTCTAAAGTTGTACATCCTGTCCAAGCTATATTCTGCAATGGACAACGCCGATAACAGCACCGATGCAAACTTTACTTCAGCATGTTATCCGTCTGGTGTATGTTTTAAAACTTTTTTTTTTTTTTAACATTAAAACACATTTTTGACTTATCTTGGAGTATCTGTGTACAACAAACCAATTGATAGATGAGGCAATTGAAATAGTGATAACAAGAATTAGATTAGAATACAGTCAGTTTTTTTCTTCTTAAATAATTAGTCACAATTAAATGTATTGAAGGATTTACTGCCATTGCAGTTATTCGGATTTGAACTGGAAAAAAAAACAGAATATTTATATCTTAGTCGCCCCCCCCCTCCTTCTCCTTATTCTTTTTATGAGCTTTCTTTGCAGCGGTAATTAGGTTAAGCGTATATCCTGATTCATTATGAAGTTGTTTTATTATTTTCTATGAGACATTATCATGTTTTCCAATAATCGGCGTAAAAACATAAAAAACTTGATTACTCTTCAGCAAAACTGTACAATAACAGATTTTTATTCTAAGACTGTCACTATTTTTAATGGTGGATTTTTTTTTGAAATACAGCAGAAAAAAGAGCTTAATAACAAAATTTTGAAGCTTCATTTATCAAGTTTTTTTAACGTCTGAAATGGTGCTTTATCAACAAATGATTTTTTATAAAATTTTAAATATATACTTTCGACTGTATACCTTTCTAAATCACCAACTTTGATGGTTTAAGACTCATTAGACGTTTATAATTTTTGAGTTACACTAAACTTTGGTCTTAAAATTAGTGAATATAGCCAACATAAATTTTCTATTTGCAGTAATCAAAATAAGACAACACTTCATTTGCTGTAAATACGTCTTTATCTGTAAGTGGATATATTTGCTTTTTTTGGCTATAACTAAATAATATACCAAAAAATTTATTAAAGCGGTGAACCGTATCTGTTTATATCGTTGAAGAAATAAACAGATTTTTAGCTGCAACAGTAGCAAAACAAAAGAAGGTAGCAGCACAATAATTTTCACCTACTATTACGCAACAATAAATTGTTTTGCTTACTATATTCTACTCAGATAATACATTTTTGAATAAATTATTTAACTGTTACTTCTTTTGCTTTAAAAAATTTAAAACTTAAAAGTATATTAGAAACCTTTTCCGTTTGGCTTTTTACTCCTAAATTTTGTGGTTTTGTTCATCTACAAAAAAAAAAATTCGACTAAAAATTTTTTTAGATTAAATTTTTTAAAGCAGCTTTATCGCTTACTGTAAAAACATTATTAATTTTGCTCTTTTTTGTCTTTTTTTATAATCTACAATTTTTTAGGGGGCAAGTTTTTATAATTATTTCCTTACTATCTTTGTTTTTAGTTTTTTGTTGTCAAAGTATTCTAAACAGATGTTTTTCTCTTTTGCCTCTACGTTGCTAATAAAAGGATATGAATCAGTGAAATGAAAATGTTGAAGCAACAAATTTTTTTTCTTGAAGTTGTTTTAGAGATTGAATGGTAGTTCAAAGTAGGTTAAACCAGTTAACAAAATATGTACTTATACAAAAACAGAGATCACCTGATTGAAAACAGATTATCAAAGGTATGACACCTTTGTATTTGATCTAAAGTTATATACAAAATTGCATTGAACGTAAGTATGTTAAAGGTCGAAAATTCAAAAAAAAAACAGGTAAGTTTAGGATTATTTTTTGAACTTCTTTTACTTTATTTTTGGGGATTAAAAAACTGTATACCCGACACATTTAGTGCAGATTATTAGATTACTGCTGTGACTACAGTGCAGCAGAGTCGGCAAAAAATATATCGCTGCTATCAGTGACTGAACGTATACTTTAAAAATTTGATATTAATAATAAGAAAAAAACCTAACAAAAACACTAACAATACGGATCAATTAAATTTCAGATTAAAATTATATCACTTTTTAGTTAGCAAAAATGTATAGAGAAAGTCTTCTTTTACAACGCTATTAAATGCTTTCTTTGTCATACTGAAAACATGAGAAAGAAAAGGCGTTTTTGGGGGGGTGAGAAAACTGAAACTTACAAGTGGTGTTTGGGAAAATTTCTGCAATATTTTGAAAAATCACCAAATGATGTTATTTTTTAATGTTTGTTTACTGATACGGTGATTCTGCAAAGTCGTTGTGGAATAAAAAAATTGTACATTTAATCGTTTTTTGTTTTATTCTTTTTTGACTCGCTTTTTGACTCATTTATAGCTGTTGTTATTAAATCGGTTAGATTTTTTTGGGATTAAATGATCGGTTTCAGAAATACCTTAAAAATAAATTTTTGTTTTTTTTTTTGAAAAGGTCAGTGTTTTTTTGTTACTTCTGATGATATTATCTGTCACAATTAGTTTGCGGCAATAAGATTTTACTTTTAACTTGATTATCATATTTTTTATTTTTAGCAGAATACCGGGATTTGAAGTTGTTGCAGAAGCGCAAATTATTAATAATTGCTATTGCTTATAAGGTGTTTGATTATATTGATTAGGTTTATAAATTAGTCGTCCAAATGTTGATACTATCTTCTTCGACAACAATTAGTTATAGTTACCAATTAAGAAAAAAAAGTGGAAAAAAATTTTCTTTGAATATCTACTGTCTTTGTTGTAATTGTTTTCTAATGATTAATTGTCAGTTATCGTTTTGATTTGTTTTTATCAACGGTATTCATTTTTTATAAGCTTAAACTGCACTGTCATTAAGTTTATACTGTTTAGTAATCAGAATGGCAGTTTAAGGAAAAACTCATTTTTAAAGCTACAATATTATCAAATGACAACAGTTACTGTTTTATACCAATTTCTCTAATTACTTTCTTTTCTATATTTCATGGTAACTTTAGTTATTTTTACTTTTTTTCTTCTTCTGAAAGTTTAAATTTACAGGGAATCGACGAAGACAGCTTAAAGCGTTCAATACTGATAATTAAACGTGGTTTTTTATTAGCCAGTTTATTATCTGCAATACTACAGGTTTATGTCATTCTTACAGCTATACGATCTATTCGACGGCATGCCAGTGATCGTTATATGCATATTTTTCTGTTAAATATGACTGTTGCTGACCTCATCCTAACAGGTTTGATCTTGAACTGTTAAAGTGTTTAGCAATGTTAATTAAACAGATAAACTGTTAAATGGACATCATAACAAATAGTCATGCTTCATTTTTTTTTTTTTTGCTTTTTAATTTTGTATTTTTTGTTCTTTTTTTCTTTAATTATGTACATTGTTCAGTTAATTTAGTTGATTTTATAGTAATTGTCATTGTCAGATAAAAAAAAAGCAAAGAAAAAATTATGCTATTTTAGAATGGAAATTCAAGTGCAGTTTTTTGATTAACAGTTCAATTTACATTTGACAAATTATTGCCTTAGATTTGTTTTCTATCTTAAAGTTACAATAAAAATTGCAACTTTCAAATGTTTTTTAACCTTTTTTTACTTAATTTGATTAATTGTTGGCTTCCTGTTTTTTTTCATAACTAGAGCTTTAAACAATTATTTTTTGATAATTACTTTTTTCTGCAATCGCGAAAAAAATTAGCGATTTAATCAAATCACTGTTTGGTGGTTTATAGTTTGAACGAGTGAAACTTGAAGGGCAAATATTGTAAAATCAAATCGAAAAAAGAAAAAAAAAACTGTTTTTCTTTTCTATTTATTGGAAAAAAGTTCTGGTTTTTTTAAAAACTTTTTTTAACATTATAGAGCTTTTTTAAGTTATCAAGCCTTTTCTTTTTCTTGATTCTGTTTAATGATTTATTTATCTGAATAGGTGAACAGTCAGCAGCAATTTTTGCTTTGAAATTTTTAGGATGGGGATATCCGAAGGAACTGTTGCTTTACTTTGTCGACAGATCCATATTTCCAAATGAATTCAAATTTTCAATGCATATATTCCTGTGGCTTGGTCTTTCTGTATCAGCGCTAAGTCTAGTGTTACTGAACATTGACAAGCTTATTTATTTCAAGTTTCCATTAAAGTAACTTCTTTTGTAGTTTATTTTGTTGTAATGCGAAAACTGAAGAATTTTATCTTTATAAAGCAGCAAAAGTGAATGAAAAATTATTTTTTGTATTTGTATAGTCAAAAAGTCAGTAGAGAAGGTTAGCAAATACTGATTAAAAAAAAGAATAGTCTATTGTTGCATTAGAGGCTTGTTACTTTTATAGGTATCCAAAGATAATCACTCAAGTTCGAGCACTGATACTTGCATTTTCCACTTGGATTATTAGCGGTATATTTATTGCGAGTACATTTTTGATAGGAGCTTTTCAATGTGCAACACTGTACGATGTTATTACGTTGGATGACGGCATAAATCCAGATGATCGAATTGCATTGGCCAAATCGTTGAATCTGACATTTGCTGCCGATATTTTAGAGGTTGAAAACAAGGGGAATGGTAGTTATCAAGTAAAAATTCAGGAATGTTTTGGATTAGAAATTTCGGATAACGGTTTCAAAGGTCGAACGTTGTATATATTATTTGTGTTCGCCGTTTGTATAATTCCAGTGGTTTCATCGTTAGCTGTAGCACTTTATATTCTCAAAGTTGTCCAAGCACATCGGCGACATATTGCTGAAGGTTTGCTTTTGTTACCGTTTTCCAGTTTCTCACTTTTTTGGCTGACTTGAAAAAAAAGAGAGAAAAAAACGAGAAATCTTTTGCTCAAAATAATAAATTTTTAAGGTGAAACTTTAAATGACGTTACACTGATTCACACAGTTGTTATGGTTCAATAACAAAAAGCAATACTGCATGTTTGTTGATGTATATATACAGTATCTTTCATGAAAAATTTTTAGCTTTTTGTTTAAAATAGTTCAAAAAAGTAACTTTATTTTTGAATGCTTTTTTTATTTTCTTTTAAGCAGGAATTTCTGTTAACGATTACCGGATAAAGCCAAACTTAATGTATAAGTGTGCGTACTTTACTAACATTTACTAAGCACACTGCAATGATTGATTTGCTATTCATCGGTAATGTCAATTTTTTGACAAATTGACAACTTTTGGGCAACTATGTTGAATCATAAAATTTGCTTGAATTTATATCATTGATAGAATTGCAGACAAAAAAAGCCAACGATATTTTAAAAAAAATCGACAAAAAAAATATGGTTGTAGTGCTCATTAAAGTTTACTAATTTATAGCAAATCTTTTGACAGTCAGTTAATTATTGCAAAACAGTTATCTTAATTACGACATCAGTCTTCCAACAGCGCCAAGCACTTATTATAATTGGTAACGTGGTTGGTCATAGTTCTTATTTTTATTGATATCGTTGATAATTTTTTTTGCTGCTTTAGCATATTAGATCAACAGAAGTGTAACAGAGCAGCAACTACAGTGAAGAAAATTTGGAATGAAGGAAACGTTGAGAGTAGTTGGTATTTTGATATTTGAGTAGATCGTTTCTGAGTGATAATTATGTCACATCTTTAAGAAGTTTCAAATGACTTTCGTCTCGCCGATAAACCTATTCCATTTATATACGTCTTAAAAGCAGACAAAAATAATTGGTCTAGTAAATAGTAGGAAACTTTGGTCTTAATATTTCTATTACACTTTGTCACTGCGGGCGGTTTAATTAATGCGAAAACTGTTTTAAAAGGTTTGGGAGACTTTGATACCATTAGAATATTACAATTTTTTAAACTTATGAAAGGAAGTACTTCTTAATTGTACTTTTAATTTGATCAATGTATAATCGTATTTATTTTCACCAAAATTAGACTATTCTCGTGGAAAGAGCTCAGTGTAATTCCCTGACAAATAATTTAAACAATTTAAGGTTTCTAAGTAACAAAAAAAATGATACCTGTTTAGATTGGAAATTTTTCATTGAAAGAAGTTTTTTAGGCTTAATATTTGTTTAGTCTTTTCAATTTCAGATATCTTCAGATATTACTGACTAAAATTGCAACAGTATTTCTTCCATTAAACTACATAATTTCGAAGTATTGTGTTCTTTTTTTCAAAAATTCTAAGAAATCGTAAAGGAAGTGTATAGATAGATATTGAAATTAATCACTCTTATCTTGCGTTAAAAAAATTTTTTTTTATCACTTACTGATCAATTTCACAGTCACAAAAAATGCATAAAAAAATACTTTTTTTGTCATACGATTGCCATCTCTTACTCTGAGTGTTCAATAACCCTTCAATTTCTTTTCGCTGTTTTTTTTCCTATCGTAAAGTACAAAGAAATTTAAAAAAATTTTTGAACTTGAGGCAGATTCAAAACCTTGAAATTGATTTACTACTATTACTGCTTGAAATATGATGAAGCAGAAAACTGAAGTTTTTTGGGTTCTCTCTTCTTTTTTTCGTAAACATTGTTTGTTTTCTAAAAAAAAAAAAAGAAAACACGAGAGCACTTAGTTGGGCTAAAAAATTTCTCAGACAACTTTTAATTTTGATTAACGAGCGTCTGTTAATGAAGTTGAAATTGTCCTCTGTCTCCTGTTTTCCTCCTTCCCTCTTTCTTCCACCACATTTCAATTTCTGGCAAAAGAAGCTCTGCATTCTTCCAACTGTCTTCCAAAATGGTTAATTTTTTGTCTCTGAGGCTTCGCCTATTACGCCACTTCTTGAAATATTTTCATCCTGGGAAAATTAGAAAGACTGTGCATACAGCATAAAGTATGACCGACGAATTACGTCGTCAAAAGCACTCGGAGCTGCAATTTTTGATCTGAACTTGATGACGTGAATTCAAATAGGGTTTTTATAGATAAGCTTAGAGCTTGGGCAGTTGTAGGCAAATTTTCTCATATTTTTCGCTTATACAATAGACTGCTTCTTGCTTTTTAAAAAATCTGGGTTTTTCTATCGCTACGTTTATAATTCCAGTTTCGTAAATACTTTCACAGTTTTTTTATTTTCGTAGAAACCATTCTTGATCTTTGTCTAGTCGTACGGTTAGAATAAATTGAAATAAATTTGATCAGTTGGTGTAAACGTTTTTTGAAATTCTCATCGGTAGCCAAAAAAAAAAAAAGTAAAAAAAAATTCGGAAATAATAACTGTCTGGATATGCAAGCGACGAAAGTGTTTTTTGCAACAAATTCTATAAGCTGCTGTAGTTTCCGAAGCTGACGTTGATAATGCATTGACAGTTTTTCAGCTGATAAATATTTTGCTTATAGTATCAGTTGCTGATGCGATTAACTATAAGAATACCTCGCATTTAAATATTATTTTTTGAGAAACAAGTTTGTTTAATCAGCATAACTGTTGATAAACACTAAGCTGTAGTGAACGATTATTTCAGTAGTCAAAGCAGTCAAGATAGAAAATTAGAAGTTGATGAAGTGGAAAGAAAGTACCTTGTTTATTTCCAAAAGTTTATAAAAACATTTAACTTTTTCCAGTTTAAAGTCAAATTATCCAACAGAGATAACAAATTAGTCTGTTGTAAAGTAACGCAAGTATTTTCAGAAAGCTCACGGAAAATATTATTTATTCTGTCTCTCTTTTTCTTTTTCAATTTTTTTTTTT